TTCCTGACAAAACGAAGGTCACATAGATCATTAATTTTTACAAAAACGACTTCTTTCATTAAATCTGAACGAAAACATCAATAAATTTTTAAGAAAAACAAACAAATAACAGAAACTCAGAACCAAGTGAGACGCAAAACACTGGGCCTTTCCGTCTATGAACTTCAACAAAGGAAATTTAATGGACCCCTGAAGAGTGTGCGGGTGGGCTTGCTCAGGGAACTGCACATTTGACGGTTGGCTACAGGCGCATATTCATGTAATGCGCCACATGTGCGGTCGCACCAGTGACCGGTGACCGAAATATGAAACCATACACTCAAAGTGACCGGAATATGAGAAAAAGCGAAGTAGCGTCAAATGCAGCAGTGGTCAGTATGAAGCGGAAACGGATTTCTGTAGATTTCGTTTATGAGCAGCGTATTATAAAAGCCGTGGGTATATCATTGTTTAGCGGCATGTCAGCCGCTGTTTTCTCATTACTCAATAATCATCCAGAAAGTTCGGTGTTTGTTGGATGCCAGGTGTTATATTAGAGAAAAGCGATTTTCTGCCGTTTTCTCCGTATGGCTCGCGCTCGCGCTCACCCAAAGTAATCTAATACGATGGAAGGCGGACAGATGCCATCGCTGCTGTTGCCAAAGGCCCGTGATATTTGCGGTGCAATAAATATACATACTAGTCTTCTCATAATAATCGGAAAGCGAGGCAGGCATTTGGCGTTTCCTGGACTGAACAGGCCGGTTAACTACGAGTAATATGACACCGATCGTTACCTTGCGGGTCGATATGGCGGTGGAGAAAGATTTGTCTTCCTGTTGCACTCGCGATCTACACATCCTGTACCGACAGATTGACCATTTGCAGGCAAACTGCTACAAATACAGTATTATTGTGCAATCTGCGTTGTAAATGCCCACTGCTTGCGTTTGCTTCCAGTTATTTTGACCAAGGCACAATCTGTAGGCCGGATCCAAATTTGTAAAAAAAAGATGTTTTTGCAGAAACGTAGTATAAGCAAATGCAATGGCCCTGCTACCGCAGTCAAATGCAAATTTTCGAAATTCGTTGTTTTCTGATTTGCTTATTAGTAAAAGAAAAAGTTTTTCACGGTGTGCAAAAATGCACAGAACAATAACATTTTTGAAAGCTGGCAATTTAACAGCGGCGGCAGGGACCACCGCACGCGGGTTTCGCTTGCCTTGGTACTCGGCAGCTGCCAGAGTTCACGGCTAATGGCCTAATGTGACGCCCGCAAAATGACTTCTACCATAATATTACTAAATTAAGTTTAGTAATTTATACTTCTACGCATAAAGCCTGTGCAGTGTGCAGTGCCGCTCTATATTTCTGCAGTCTACTGGCGCAGCTTACCAGCTTTACAATTCAAAAAAATAGTACAAGTGGTAAAGCTTCGCCAGTAGACTGCAGTGTTGTAGACTGTAGAGCGGAAACAGGAGCCGGCATACCGCTAAGTTGGTCATGCCGATATGTATAATAATAATTTATTTCCGCCGTAATTTTCGTTAATCTTGCGCTCTGGTTTTGCGGTGGCAGAAGGCTGAGCAAAATAATTTCAATACGTTTTGAAGTTATGTACTGTATTTTCACAAGTTTAAGGAACGCTCCAGGGGCCGGGCCGCGCACACGAGTTGTCGGCCCCTTTGAGATCAAAGCCGACCGACGGTCCGGCTACGCTGGCCACGCCCCCACCCTGTTCCTTAAACTTGTGAAAATACAGTACTTGTAAACTTTCTATCTGTCGTTCTACTAAACTCTGTTGTACGATTTTCTTGACACTTGCACTCGACGTAGTCTACAAGTAACTTCAAAACATACTTCGCTTGGCCCATTATTTTAATCAGTACCGCTTTAGGGATCAATATATTAATCACTTTTACTGCACAGATGCAGTGCTGGTCTTACTGCATAGATTGCACACTGATAAGCTGCATAGGCTGCTTACTGCATAGACTGAATGGTGAAGCATACAGATAGACTGCATTTCAGTCTGCCGTGGTTGTTCAGGTAGCCCGCCCGCCACAGAGGCTGTCAACTCGGTAAAGTGATTAATATATTGATCCTAAAGCGGTACTGATAAATAATGGGCAACACAATATGAAGTATTTGCTCAGCCTTCTGCCGCAAACCTAGATTAACGAAAAACGGAAATAAATTATTATACATATCGGCATGACCAACTTAGCGGTATGCCGGCTCCTGTTTGCTCACTGTTCAATAATCATCCAGAAAGCTCGGTGTTTGTTTGATGGCAGGTGTGCTACTGGAAAGTCTTCGACCGTTTTCCCTGTATGGCTCGCATTCATTCGGACCCTGAGTAAACTTACACGATGGAAGAAAGAAAGACACGTTTATACATAATTTGGTGATAGCTAAAAACCAACTATATTTATTGTAGTTTATTTATACATTAATTATTTATTGACAATAAAAACAGAAAACGGATAATCTCGCATGAGAACATTTCGGTGGTCTGCAGTCCTTGGTCGGAGAAGTCTGTATCTCATCGTCTCGCGCTTGCAAACCGACAGATACTGTAATTTAAAGAGTACTCAAACTTCCTTGCATAAAAATTACTTTCATGAACAAATCTCAAATCAAATGCCAAATCTAATAACAGAAAATTTTGGAAGCTGCAAATTGCTGTGGTTCAACTTTAAAAAGCTACAAAAAAGCACTCGTAAACATATAGAATCAGAGATTACCGCATACATAATAATAAATACGAGCACAAAATTAAAGAAATCATTGAAAGTATAGTCACCCCTTTGCCCTTTTCACCCCGGTTTTTTATAGCCACCCCTTCACACCCCGTTAATTACATGTAACTGTTTCTGCAATTAGTTAAATAAGAGCATCATGTTTGCATTTAAATTGCAGACGCCCATTTCATTGGTCATTATTACGAATCTGTGATTTATATAAATTTTATATTTTACCGATGTCTGCGAAATTCATAAACTTCGGCTATTTATGACCTTTCCAGCAGGCAAATTAAAATTCCTACATGGATCAAAGAAATCGTAGAGTACTTTATGTGGTCCAGCATTTCTACCGCAGTTCTGTAACCTCGGTCGGAGCACGCGCTTCATTGCCCATTTATGGACAATGGACAATTTATGGACCATTGTTTTGTTCTCCGCCGAGCTTACAGTTAGCCGTCGATTTTCTGGAAGCTTCTTCCATCTTTCCTGAATGAGCGGGTGGCTGTGAATTACAACCTTAATCCTTAAAATTTTCGTACGACGTACGCCCACTAAACGCGTTTAGGCTACAGTATCCCACTATTAAGTTGCGCGTTTAATTAAATGTCAAAAGGGTAACTCTAAAATACAGGGTGCATTAAAAGAAATTAATTAAAAAAAGGGCGCCTAAAATTAACGGGGTGTGAAAAGGAGTGCATGGCTATAAAAAACGGGGGTGTTTGGGGTAGCCCAGTAATACTACTTGGCTGTGATAGAAGTGTATCTGTAGTTGTACTGCAGTCAATACTGATTTACTGACCCTCTTACAAATCGTATTCAATCAGAAACTACAAACATATCGATCAGTTTAAGTTGGGTATCACGTGCTTTCTGTTTACCATCGTCTAGAGAGAGTGGGACACTGGGCTGTTAGGTTTCGCCCGGCATGGGGCGAAACGTGCCGAAAGATGCCCAAACAGCAACGGCTGTATCAGCATCCAGTAACAACTGTAAATTGCCGGATGTCAAACTTCAAGTATTGACACGTGTCAGGGAATGCCGCAACGTGATGGACGACGGTAAAATCTGCCGAGTACGCCGATTGTCCTCATCTACAACACTTCAGCAACTTGCCGGCAAGTAGCAATGCTACATTCTTCTAACAAAATTGTTGTTTTCCTTGCATACTGGATATTCCTATTAAGTCATCTTTTGCACGGTCTATATATAAGAGAACCGCTGCCGGTAAAATTTCGGCGAATTTTATGTAGTTGTTCTCAGAAAGTTGTCGGGCTGATTAACTGGGTTAAAAAATGGTTAGCCGTGTGCAGATCATTGTCGCATTGGGCTTAATGGCCCTGAACGCATCGGCCGCCCGCAGTGTCTCCACGTCCCGTTCGCCCGGTGCGCCGACGACCGGAAGTGGCACGTGGATGACCACCACGGGTGACTTCATGACCACCGGATCCGGAAGTCCCGTTTCCGTCACCGGAAGTGCTGGCGCCTCCGGCTCTTCCAGCAAACCCATGTCGACCACCGGAGGTTATGAATTTACCACCGGAAGCGGTGACGCCGTCTGGACTACCGACAAGCCCATGTCAACCACTAAAGGTCATGGATCTACTAACGGAATCCCCGGGGCCTCCAGCACGACCACCGCGAAAGCATCCACCACCAAAGGTCATGGGGCCATTGCAGCTGCCACGGGCGGTGTCACTACCGATGGTCCCGTGTCGGTTACCGGTGGCGGGATGACCACCGGAGGGCCGGGTAACACCCACACATCCGGAGCGGGTAACACCCATACCGGCGGCAGCGGCGCCCCGTCGTCCACCACCCACGCCAGCGGCTTAGCCTTTAAAGCCGCTCTTCAACCGCTGGAGCCCATGGCATCCCATTTCTGAAGCTGGAGAAGTAGTTGCTGATATTCATTATGCCTGTTATACGACGTTATTCTTAGGTTAATTCTTGATACACTTTATAGCAGCGATTCATGTTGACCATTGCTGGGTACTGCAAGGTTGCTCCGTACAAAAATAAAAGTAATGAAATAAGTTAAACTGCCTTTGCTGGCATATGAAATTACAATAATTTATTTTAGGTTTTGCCAGCGTGCTCCAGAAATATTTGAAAAAATGGTTAAACGGTACTAATCGGTAAACCGTGTAGGTTGTGGAAAATAAATAAAATTTTTTTATATTGGCTTCACCTGAATGATGAAATCAATTGCTCCATCACATGTTAAAAAAATTAAATGGTTTTGCTGTGGAAGAAAAATAATATGCGTAATGACGGGTATATTTTGGAACTGCAAGCCAATTACGGTGCAAAATAAAGCCAAAAATGAACTCGGTGAAAATAAATACAAACGTATAAAACGTAATAACGTTTTATGGAATTTCCCGATAATGTTTCTATTACATAATTAACCAGATAAATACATTAAAAATGCTGATTAAGTCGCAACAACAACAAAAAAGGAAAATCAATAAGCAGCGAATCAAAATAAAACACAGGAAAATCAAAGGAAAAAATCGCTCATTGCGTGGCGGTCGGGGGTGGCGGGGGGATAAACGCCCCGGGAGGGGGCGGCGGCGGCGGGAACATCATGCCCGGTCCCGGCTGCATGCCGGCGGGCGGGGGCGGCGGCATGCCCATGGGGAAGCCGTAGAAGGGCATGGGCATCATCCCGGGCGGCATCATCTGCGCGGCGGCATTGGCGAAGGTGTTGTAGGCCGCCTGGGGGGTCATGGGGGGCGGGGCTACCGCCGTGACCGACCCCGTGCCGCCGCCGGCGTTGGGCGCGTCGGCGAAGAGCTGATGCGGGCGGTCGGCCTGCGCGATGGGGTTCTGGGCGGCCAGGAGGCGCTCGGCCGCCGAGCCGTGGCGTTCGCCCTTGGAGTCCTTCTTAAACGCGTAGGAGACGGAAATGGCGCGGTTGCACAGATACTGCGTGTTCATGGCCTCGATGGCCGCGTCCGACGCCTCGAAACTGGCAAAGTTGACGAAGGCGTAGCCCTTGCTATTGCCCGTCTCCGGGTCGCGCATAATCTACAATAAAGTATTAAAAGTAAATTAATTAAATTAGAAATAACTGAAATCATCAAGTAATGTTCGTCAGTAACATTCAATAATAATGTAATAAATGTTCATCAATTATTTACAATTAGAAATAGTTTATATTTGTCTAGTATGCTATTTAATTAAATTAGAAATAAACGCAATAGTTTATATTTGTTAATGATATCTGGCTAAATCAAAAATAACTGAAATAAGATTAATTAGTTAATGAGATGTGCAACCGTCTGTAGATACGGAATTATGCTGGAAATTCCTGCATCTGTTCAACAGTTTTTCAGTTAATAATGTTGGAAGCGGGTATCGGGAAAGAGACCATGCTCGGGTCGGTTTCCCTTCTCTTACTTCCCAAACAATGCAAAAGAATTCAGGGGAGCAAGTATGTATTTCAGAGAATTCAATAAGTATTACACTACTGACTTACAAATAAATATTAACAGCAGATGAATAAACAATAAGATTACAAGAACAAATTTTGAACGAAACTGCTGAAATTACCAACATTTTTGCCATCTTGATTCAGAAAACGCAGAGAACAATCGAAATAATTATTCTTAAACGCGAAAAATCACCGGATTTTCCGGTTGCTGGTTTCCTTACAATTGTTAGCAGGTATCTGTACGTTCAAAAAACTGAATTAACGGGTAAAAAACGATTAAGAAAAAATGATCAAATTCAGGGAAGAAAGAAACAAGTATAAAACAGCGAAGCCGAAATTCACAGCGATATGACGAGAAATGGGGAAATTTATCGTTTACGCACATACCTTGGGAGTTTGTAATATCATGCCGAAGGCGCTGAACGTGTCGTACAGCAGCTTCTCATCCACCTCCGGATCCAGATTCCCGATGAAAATATTCGCCCCGATATCGAGATTCTTCTGGTGCGCTGCTGCCTGCACAAATCAAACATTTCTCTTAATATT